GTATCCAGATGACATGGGATTAATTACAGTGATATAGAATTTGTTAATTATTGATTGGCATACAATAAGCACTCAACTCATAACATCTCTTGTTATTACGGTCAGCCAACGTTAATGCTGATTTGTGTTAATTATATTTCACCCAAGAAAAGAATATATGTAGAATAGTTTAAATTGATCAGGTTTATAGTTACTTTTTTTTAATATATGGTGGTGTGCAGCAAAATGATGTTTTCATTTTGTCAACCTTCTAGGTTGTTGAATTCTGCAATGAAAAAAACCATAACCGAGAAGCTCCAAGTCTACAAAATCTAAAGTGCAATTACAGAAGTACCTGGGAGGTCATTAGAGAGTCTGAGGACTTTACAAACACCACAGCGATGGAGACACCACCTCCTCCACCTACCTTCTCACTGCTGCGGATCAGAGACAGAATTGTGTGCCTCGTTCTTGATAAGTCTGGAAGCATGGCTGTAAGTTCAGTGGGCCTATTTTTCTGGGCATAGCAGTGGAAGTAGTTAAATGCTAGGAACACACTGTATTCTACCTGTGCCTGGATTGTTTCAAATTATATGGTGGCATAAGGTGCCATCATTTCTGGTGATCATGTCCTCAAGATATTGCAATAAAATTTATATAAAAGAAAGATGTCAGTAGAGTTCAAAAGACCTAACCCAAGAGTGTCTTTTTTTTTTTCCAGAAAATGATTTACTATGGAGAGTGAAGCTCTCTCTGGTAAAGCTTTAGTTACAAGGTCAGTACTAGAGATTGAAGAACTTAATTGCTTTTAGCCATGATTCGCTCTTTGAAAATGCTTGAGAACATGAGGATTATTGGACATTAAACCACATTTCAGGTTAAGGAATAGAAACATTCATCAGGATTCCTAACATGGATTTTCCTTATTTGTGCTATCTTATTTGTACTGTAAATGACCTCTTTATACTCAAAGAAGCAAACAAAAATATCACAAGAAAGAATGTATGTTTAGATGCAGTCATTCCTTCCATTATCATGCAGTAAATGAAAGGCACTGTGCTAGGCTCTGAGGATAGAGATCCATGTCCTTCATGGTTCGATACTGAATGCTCTTTCTCGCTTTCCCCATTATCTGGTTAAGTCAGACTTACCTCCCAATTTAGGGAGAGATACTTCCTCTAGGAAATGAACTGGCTGTATCAGACACTGTAGGCCTTTCTGCTAACTCCCAATACTTCCCTGTGCTTGCCTCTATTACCATATATAATTTTGAAAGCACGGGTGCTTCTACCAACCAGACTGGGAGATTCTCTAGGAATTGGAACCTTGTCCAATGCATCTTTGTAGTTTTGTGGCATAGAACAGAGTTCATTACATAGGAGTGATCAATAAATAATTGCTGAAGTGAGTAAACTACAAACAAGCAATGCAACCTGATAGGCTGTCAAGAAGGATAAATGCTTGAGGTAGAATAGGACATGCTAAAGACCAGAAATAAAAACCTCAGCCAATGCTTGGGAGATGTTAATTGAAAAGGGCAGAGGATGATACAGATTAATGAAATGAGCCACAGTAATGCAGGATTTCAAAGAGGCCAGCAAAGTGCTGACACCAGCACACACAGGTGATCCAACAAATGTCACTGAAGAGAGAAGAGGTTCCTGATGGGAAGATGAGCTCCTCCAGGCAGAGTGCTGTTAGATATAGGCTTACAGATAAAATAAAGTGACAGAGAACCTCAACTATGGACTTCCAGGAATTTTTCACTGTGATTCGGTTCAGCAATTCAGAGGGAAGTTTGGGTAGAGGTCGTGGGTAGGTTCTGCTAAGGAGCGCACTGGTGAGGGAATGGAGAAGAAAATGTATGAGGACGTGTACAACCTGGGCAGTCATCTAGGAAAGAGGGATGAGAGCACTGGTTTTTTGTTGTACTTGTTGTATGAGCACCTGTTAATTTTAATGAGTGTTAATTTTGCCAGCATTACATCTCAGCATGGTATTCTTATATAGGTGTGTAACATTCTAGGAGCATCGTATTAGCACCTCATCCCCATCCTGTTTACCATTCTGCATCTCTCGTGTTCCCTTCTTCTTGAGTCTCTTCTACTTTCATTTCTTTTTCGTTTTCTTTTTTTAGATTCCACATTTAGGGAAAACATGCAATTTTGTCATTTCAAATAAGGCTTGTTTAACATGAAAATTTCACATTTCATTTATATCCCTGAAAATAAATAATGTCTTTCTTTCTTTTGGCTGAATGATATTTCATTATGTACCACATTTCTTTTCTCCATTCATCCATTTTTTGGAACTTAAACTGATTCTATAGCTTCATTATTGTGATTTACGTGGAAATAAACATGTCTATTTTGGTATCTCTGCCATATGCAGGCTGTAATTTTTTCTGCCATATAACAAGAACTGGTATAGCTAGTCACATTAAAGTAGTTCTACTTTTGGTTGGCAAGAGAGTCTCCACACTGATTTTCATAGTGGCTGTATTAATTACCATTTCCACCAACAGTATGAAAGGACTCAACTCCACTCCTATCCTCAAGGGCATTTTTTGCTTTGTGTATTGATGATACCCATTGATGTGAGACACAATTTACAATTTCGATGTAGTTTTGATTTGCATCTACATAATGGTTATCTGAACTTTTTTTAAGATACTTGTCATTTTTATTTTTTCTTTGAGAGTGTCTCTTCAAATCAATTGTCCCGCTTTGAGCAATGGCAATATCATAGCCATAGGTTTATCTGAGGTGTGCTTATTACTACCCAGTTCATTTGCCTGTTTACTGTTTAGGCTATTTACGTTGTTGCTATTAAGTTTTAGAGTTATTTATATATTATATATACAAATGCTTTGTCTAGAAAATAACTAGCAAAGGTTTTCTCCCATTCTGTAGTATCTTTACTCTCTTAATTGATTTTTTTACTATATTGAAATTTTTTATTTGATAAAGTCACATTTGTTGATTCTTACTATCATTTCTTATGTTACTGAAATCCTGGTCAGGAAGCATTTTCCTGAAGTTGTGACTTCAAATATTTCACTATGTTTCCTTTCAGGAGTTCCGAAGTTTGGGGTCTTATTCTTAGGTCCCTGATCCATTTCGAATTGATTTTTTTACCAGATGAAAAATAAGTATCTAGTTTTAATCTTCTGCATATGGATATGCAGTTTCTGAGCACCATTTGTTAAAAAGGCTGTCTTTACTGCAGTGTATGTTTGTAACCCCTCTGTGGAAAATCAGAGGGCTATAGTTGTATGGTTTTATCCTACAGTCTAGTGGGTTGGTCTACATGTCTATTGTATGCCAGCACCATGCTATTTTTTTTACTATTTCTTTATAATTTGAAAGCAGGTGTCATGATGCTTCCAGCCTTGCTTTTTGCTTAGATTGCATTTTGCTTAGATGCTTGATATGCATCTACATAATGGCTATCTAAACTCTTTTAATATACTTATTAGTCATTATTGTTTTTTCTATTGAGAGAAACTCTTCTGAGTCTTTTGTGTTTCTATATGAATTTCAAGATTGTTTTTCCTACTTGTGTAAAGTGTATCATTGGTATTTTAATGGAGATTGTATTGAATCCATAGATCACTTGTGGTAATATGGCCATTTTAATGCTATTAATTGTGCCAATCCATAAATATGGAAAGTCTTTATATCTCCTCTTGTCTCTCAATTCCATTGTGGAGTACTTTCACTTTCTTGGGTAATTTGATTTCTAGATCAATTTTTGAAGCTGTTATAAATGGAATTGTTTTCTTGATTTCTTTCTCAGCAATTTCATTACTAAGAAAGTTATTAATTGATGTACAGAAAAATATTCATTTCTTGTTATTAATTTTATCTCCTGCTTTGCTGAATTTATTTACCAGATCTGAAAATCTTTTTGGCAGAGTCTTTAGGTTCTTCTAAGTATAGGATCATATTATCTGCAAATAAGGATAGTTTGACTTCTTCCTTTCGTATTTCTATCTCTTTCAGTTGTTTTTCTTCTCTAATTGTCTGGCTAAAATTTCATATACTACATCACAGAGAAGTGGTGAAAATGAACATTCTGGTCATACCTGATTTTAGAGAAAATCTTTTCAGTTTTTCCTCATTCAGTTTAAGACTCCTGAGGTTAATTCCCTTAATATATTAATCCAAACGATATGTTACCAAAGAGTCATTTCCAATTAAACTACTGGTGAATAAATATTGGTAGAACATTAGAAGTGGAAAAGGAAAAAGGGATGGTAAGGACACGGCTTCTCAGAATTTAGCCTCATCTCAGGTTAGTTCTCAGCAAGTGAAACAATTCCAACTCTGGAAGGAGTCCAGTTAGTCTAGTGTATTTGTGAACTCTGGACATAATTTCATGTTAAGACACTCTTTATACTCATTAGGGGTGATGCTATTATCTTCAAGTTCAAAACTACTTAGTGGGTTTCTTTTACTTTTTCATTCAGGGCAGTGACCGGCTGAATCGAATGAATCAAGCAGCAAAACTTTTCCTGCAGCAGATTGTGGAAAATGGGTCCTGGGTAGGGATGGTTCACTTTGACAGTACTGCAAGCATTAAAAGTGAGCTAATACAAATAAGAAGCAACAGTGAAAGAGACACCCTGGTGAAGAGCTTGCCTACACAAGCTCTCGGAGGAACTTCCATCTGCCTTGGGATTGAAAAAGCATTTGAGGTAAAAATCATCATGCCAAGAAAATGATAACACTATAATTATTCAAATTTATCTTGAATTACACACTTCTGACACAGCTGTGTCTTTGTTGCTCATCTGTCACGCAGTCTCTCACACAAACCTTGGGAAATATTAAGTTGAGTTCAGTTCTTCCTGGGAATGGGGGAACCATGCCGTTCCCAACACAGTGACTGACACACTGTAAGTGCTGAGTGAATAAACTCACACAAGAAAGTGAGAGGTGAAGTTAGGGAGCTCATCTTCATCCCAGGCTTTCATGTTGTACTCAGATTTGTAGCAGAAGTGTAAGGGACATGCTCTGTTAATGCCATAAATGTTTATTTCAGTTTGGTTCAATGCATATCAAAATGTATTTTTCATATATATAACACTTTGTCTCATGGCATGCAAAATTTCTAATGTGAACAATGAATTTTTTCTCTGATTCCAGCTTTATTAGGGATTTCTGCATCTCAACTCTCCTCCCTGATTCTACATGTACCTCTTCTCCAAGTCCAAGAAATTGGCTGGTCATCTGGCATGTCATTCTTTTTTCTTTTGCTAGAATCCGATTCTCAAAATGGTACTAAGGAAGCCATTATCAATTAAAGCAAACAGAGGGGCTGGGGATTTAGCTCAGTAGCTTAAACACCTGCCTGGCAATCTCGAGGTCATGCGTTGGATCCCTGGCACCTAAAAAAAAAGAAAAGAAAATGTTCCTGGAAACTCAAAGCAAACAGAGAAAATAAAATGCATTGCAGTTTCTAGTTAAAATACTTTTCTCCTCTCCATGGGCAGCTAGATTCAAAACTCTGACTTTGAAAATGTGAGACTATTATAAGTAAGGCATTGAAGCTACAAACAGAACCCAAGAAACATTTCTCATTTGGTCTTTGATCATCACTAACATTGCTTACTTTTACATTAGCCTCTCCTAGAAGGAAATTAATAGTTATCCAATAAATCTCAAACCTCACTATGTTTAGAACTGAACTTTTCTTTTACTTACAAGCATGCTAGGAATTTTCTGATTTGGAATCAATGACATTTTTATGTTAAGGTGGATTATTAATGAATCGAGCTATACAGACCACAAACTTTGTATACTAAAGGCTTCTAAGAGGAGAGTAAAGAGAATGAGAGTTTTTTTTAAAGTACTTTTGGGGTGTCTAAATGATTTGAGTTTCCTAGGCTGTGATGAAGGCCTTGTTTAATGTAAGCAGCATTTCCCAAACCACCAACATTTATCCACCAATGGTTTAATTGGAATTGACTCTTTGGTTACATATTAGATGGACTGACATATTAGATGAATTAACTTCTGCAGTTTTATGCTGAATGAGGAAAAACTGGAAGCATTTCCTCTAAAATCAGGTATGGACAGAATGTTCACTTTTACTACTCCTGTTTGATGTAGTACATGAAATTTTAGCCAGACAATGCTCTTTTGGGATACAGTGTTCATTTGGATAAATACTGCCTGCAACAGGGGGCAACAAAACATTCATATCCCCAATTCCTTAGGACAACTAGATAAGTTAGTACGTGCCCCAGCACTCTAGGAGGCTGAGTCAGACACAGCACAAGTTCGAGCCAAACTGAAGTGACTTAGAGGAACCTTGTCCCAAATTAAAGACCAAGTGGGCTGTGGATATAGTTCAGTGCAGTGATGCTGGTTCAATATCCAGTCCAAATAAATAGAAAAATGATAAGCCAGATATTGATTGTGGATTCTGACTTTAAAACAAAGATTCTCTTCTACTCTACATTTTTTGGGGGTATCAGGGATCAAAGTCATGACTTTGCCCTTGCCAGGCAGGCACTTATGCCACTGAGTTATATCCCCAGCCCTCTACATATTTTTCTTTATTTTCTTCATATTTGTCTACTTTCCCAATGATCTGTTTGACCTACAGTGCTTAATGTGCCTGAATACATTTGCAGGTGATTACAAATGCAAGCTTCCAGTTGAGTGGGTCTGAAATACTGCTGCTGACTGATGGGGAAGACAACGGTGCAAGCAATTGTGTTAATAAAGTGAAAGAAAGCGGGATCGTCATTCATTTTATTGCCTTGGGACCATCTGCGGATCCAGCAGTCACACAGATGAGCATTGAAACAGGTTAAAGTGTTTTCTATCCTTTCTGGGCTCCGGATAGGACTGTGTTACTGTCTGGGCTGACAGCAGTGCACCTTCTCTTGTGCTCCTGCTCTGAGAATGCTGTACCAGGAACTGGAGACCAGAATCAAACCAGGCACAATCTCTGTTCTCGGGGAACTTGGAGAAAGAAAACAAAACTGCTAATTAAATCACATAACCAGACAATATTTCTTTATAACATAGAAATATAGATTATTAATTTCTCATTTAATAAGCCTGCAAAATCTAAGCACCAATTTCATTAGAACTGTATCTTAAATAAAGTGAACAATTCTCTACAGTACTATGGAAAAACTGTGAACTTAAATACACAGAATTGTAACCATATCATTTGATGTATTTGATGTATTTAATCGAGCTGGCATTTGATGCTGAGGTATGATGGTATGTTTTCTGTTCTGGTTACATTATTTTAAATTAGCATTTTAGAATTAATCTTACAGCTATCTGACATTGGTCTGTTTTAATGGTACATGTAGAAACTATGAGTTTCATTAAACTTTGCCTTATTAATCACTAAATGTGTAAGCACTTATTTTCTAGAAATTATCCTTACTTGCACATTTACATTTTAGGAGGAAATGAATTTTCTGCTTCAGATAAGGCTCAGAACAATGGACTCATTGATGCTTTTGCTGCCCTCACATCAGAAAATGCTGGTCTCAGTCAGAAGTCCATTCAGGTGAGAGCTCCAACAGCGGGGGAGTTGTGTTTGCATTTACCATAACCACAAAAAATAATGTGTTACTTCTATCACCTTCTCAGAATGGAACTTTAATTAAAATTTAAATCTGAAGTAGACATAATTCTTTACATATAATTAAACTGAGCACTGAAATAAGAGTAAACTGCATCAAGAAGTATATTTTAAAATATCATCAGGAAAATATTCAGAAGAGTTTGTATCAATTCTTTACTATCTCTGAAGTCTTCAATTTGCCTCCACTCAAATAGTCTATTCTCCCATTACTATTATTTTTGGGATCATCTTGAAAATTTTTAGACTGAAAGAAACTCACACACACACACACACACACACACACAGCCCTAAGGTAGGCCTAGCTTATGAGTGTGACTGTAGCTACTAAATATTTAAAGGTTAACTGGCGTTTTAACCAGAAAATTGGGGAAACAATAGTAGGACCCCACTCTAAAGCCCTTGTTCCTGCTCTAAGTCTCTTAGTATACGCCCTCCTTCCTTCAAATGCTTTTTTCGCACACTTCGCCTGACAAATATTGAATCCCAGTTAGCTATGTCAACCAGTCTAAGGTGGTATGCCATGTATACATTGTTTTCAGACCAGAAAGTAAGAATCATCTTTTTAAGAAACATGACTTAAATCATTATTTTCTGTAGTCATTAACTTTTAAAATATATTTAAACAGCTTGAAAGTAAGGGACTAACATTGGACACTGGCGCCTGGATGAATGACACTGTGGTAATTGATAGCACTGTGGGAAAGGACACGTTCTTTCTCATCACATGGTCCACACCACAGACTCCTGCTATTTCTCTCGTGGCTCCCAATGGATCACTGATAGAAGGTTTCAAACAGGACAATGACTCCAAAATGGCCTATCTCACTATTCCCGGACATGCACAGGTAAGCAATCAGCTTTTACACTTCCTCTGAATTTTTAGTGCTGAAAATACAATGTTTAACTTCATAACTCTGAATGTTAAAGATCACAGCACCTGTGAAATTAAATTCTATGTTCTTTCCTTGTGATCCTGAAAGTTGTAATGACTAAAAACAGGAAAAACAAACTAACTATCATGAAAAAGGAAGAATTAAGAAGGAAATATGGGAAGGGTATGGGCAGCTTGATATGCACATTGCTACTGAGGTCAACAAACAAAGCTACAGCCAAGACAAATTTATTTTCCCAGTTTATACATCACACAGTATATACACCATGTATGACTCTAGAGAGGGTGGACTGGCCAAACTTCCACAATTTAAATCTTTTTAAAATCTCAAAATCATCAACCACTTGTTTATTGTAGTTCATATGTCTATTATTTATTTTAGAATTGCATAATGAAACCTGAAAATAGCTTGTGGATATTTACTATGTTTTCATTGAACATTTTAGGTGGGCACATGGCTTTACAAACTTCAAGCCAAAGCAATCCCACAAATACTCACTATTACAGTAACTTCTCGGGCAGCGAATGCTGCTGTGCCTCCAATCACAGTGAGTGCTAGAATGAATAAAGTCACAAACACCTTCCCGAACCCCATGATTGTTTATGCAGAAGTTCGACAAGGGTATGTGCCCATTCTTGGAGTCACTGTGACTGCGATCATTGAATCAAGCAGTGGACACACAACAGTTTTGGATCTACTGGACAATGGTGCAGGTAATTCACAGGCTTTTATGAATGAGTTTACATTTTATAACTAAGGATGTGTTATGAGTCCTAGATGTAGCGTGAAGCAGGAAGACAGGCACACAATGAATTGAGGTAGACTGTAGAGCAATAAGAGCACCAGCAGAAAATTCTATCAGGTAAAACTTATAAAATGCCTAGCAAGTATGTTGTACATGCTAAGTACTCAGTAAATGTTATTTATTATCAAAGGTATGGTCATCTGGACAGCCAATGTCCGTCACCAGTAGATCTCACTGAAAGATTCTCATAAAGAGAGAGTCAGGCTTTCTAGGTTAGTGCCTCTTGGAGGTTGCATTCTCAAGAGAGCCTGGGCAGAGAGAGTGAAGCACAAGCGGCAAGAGAGAGCTAAGTAGTCGAACCCAGGACCCTGGGAGGGAAAGGGAGAGCAGCAGGAGTAATTCCCAAGACCTGGGACAAAATACAGATGCAGTCCTGAGCGCTGAGGTCCAGGAGGAGCGAAAACCACCACAAGAAAGGAGGGCACATCGATGGGCATCTGACTGTCAGGAACATGGTCTGACTGTCAGGAACATGGAATAGTGCTGACCAAGCCCTGTCTTCCTGTTCTGTATGGATGAGTGGTGCTTAAAGACCTTTTCCCAGAGCTTTTCTGGGAACTTCATCTTCTATTAAAGGTCACAGAACAAGAAGATGAACAATTTGAAACATATCTGAATTATTGCAGAATTCCATATGAACCTTTTGCAGTGTAATTTATTCATTCTATAATTGTGTCTTCAACTAGTGCTGGCAAATTATTCTTTGATGCACCTCAGTGCTCTCTCCCACCAATACCCCTTGTCTCTTCTTCCTCAGCTGTACAACACTAAAACTTACCTGCAAGTGCTTTCCTTTCTTTGCCCTCTGCCATCTGAATATTTGGCTAATTAAGAAGGTATCTTACTTGGATGCCTTTACCTAAGAAGATATCAATAATTAATCATGACATAGGAAGGCAGGTATACTTACACTTTAGTCTGCAAAGGAAACATCTGAAGGTGTTGGTAAAACATAAAACTGAGACCCATTTCTGGATACTCTCACTAATTAGCATGTTTAAAAAATCTCTAGATTTTAAGAGACGCAGCTATTTCTGATGTAAAGGCTAGACCTCAATTTAAGATCCTTTGACTTAGAGTGTTAAATGTGCTGGAAAGTGTATTTTGCAACGTAACAGGTGGTTAAGAAGTGCACAGATTTTCTAAATTCCTCTAATTTGTCATTCTAAAAGTAGGAGAGATTTTATTCCTTCAAACTAGAGGGCTAATGCATCAGGAGGGCAAGAGCTAAAAAAAAAAAAAAAAACAAGAAAAAGAGTTGTTGAAGATAAGACAAAGTTTTAGCTTTCGATATTAAAACTTAAAGGATAGTATTAGGGATAGTATTTTCTTAGTGAGAACCTATGAGATTTAAACATATGAATAGAAAAATTAATGTGATTAGATAAAAAATTCAATTTCAGAGCAATGGTTAAAAAAGGAATACTACTACTTGTATACACATTGATGTGGGAAAGAAAGGTGCATTATGTATTTATTTATTATATGTATGCATTTGTATGTACTTATTATACATATACAAACATGCATTTGCAAAAGTGTGTTTAGAAGTATAGATACTCAGGTATCAAAATAACTCATGGACATGAATTGAACAATATTTCCATTAGGCAGAGAATAATGGAAATATTCTAGGATGCCCTTCTCAAAATAGCAAGATAAATTTGGAATATTGTTTACCAAGACCAGTGCTTATCTTACAAAATGTATGAGTTTTTTCTTGAATTCATAATAATTGATTTACTTGTTTCTATAACAAGGTGCTGATGCTTTCAAAGATGATGGAGTCTACTCCAGATATTTTATAGCTTTTTCAGAAGATGGCAGATACAGCTTAAAAGTGCGAGCTTACGCAGGAACAAACTCTGCCAGACTAAGCTTACCACGGAATAGAGGTGCCTTTGTACCAGGTTTGGTTGAGAATGGTGAGTACCTTATGGTATCTGAAGTTCAGCAATAGCTTAAATAATATTTGTGATTTGATTTGCCTGAGGGTAGGCACCACACATTTTACAACTCAGAGTTTAACCTTTCCTATTTCTGGAAAGAAGATCTCAGTTAATTGCCTCCAAAGTCAACTTGTGAAAAATGTCTGGCACCTAAGGAACATTCAGCTAGTACTGTTACTTTGGAACACCCTTGATAATGTCAACAATAAAACCATGCATTTTCAGCCCAAGAAACAGGAAAAAATCTAGTATATCATGGGCTTAAGTACATGCCATAGCAGAATTTATCTTTAAGAATACACATGCTATAACAGTATTTATTTACAATGTCTTTATTAAGTCTAAAGAAGAAGTGCATAGAGCACTGCGATGCTATGCATAAACTCTGCATTCTTTGACACCTTTCCTTTGTTTGGCCTTGTGTTTTGTGTCTTCTCCAGGTTTCTTGTTGGCAGTTGTAATACTTTTGCAGCTGGGAGGGAAGGGCCTGACCCAAGTGGTTAGAAGGGAACTGGTAACAATTTCTCCAGATACATTGCTAGCTTGGAGAGAATTTGAAGGGAAACACATTAGATTTTTTTCTTCAAAGACATATATTGAATTATACAAAATAAATCTCAGTGCAATCTTCATTTCAAAGCAATTAGTTATGTGGAGTTCAACTACAAGAGATTTGTTATAATACTAAAGAAAGAATTTTCCCTATTGGCTACTTAAGACTGTGTCACAAGACTTTGTAAAAATGTAACTATGAAAAAGAAAAGATAAATGACGCATTGAAGGTAATTCATTAAGTCCTAAAAAACACAGGCACATTTTAAACAAGAGATTTTTAATGCAGGAGAAATTAAAGGGAACACACCAAGACCAGAAATTGATGATAATAATCTGAAGGTTGTGGAGAGTTTCAGCAGAACAGCAACTGGAGGTGCATTTGTGGTGTCAGAATTTCGAAATGTTCCCCTAAATGAAGCATTCCCACCAAGTCAAATCACTGACCTCAAGGCCACATATGAAGATGGTAATATCACCCTAACTTGGACTGCACCAGGAGAGAATCTTGATACTGGAACAGGTAAGAATGAAATGTCAGGTGGTTTACTCATGTAGTGAAAGGCATTATTGTAAAAGACAGGGTATAAGGGTTGGTTAGGGGAGAATAGTTTTTAATTAACAACTCAGTAAAGTATTAACAATAAAATGTGGTACTTTTTAATCAATGAAACATGACACATTTTACCCTTATCCTACTCTTCATACAAAGACAGTAGCATTTGGCAGAGACTAACAGTCAGAATTTAGGTTGGATGTGGTTTATAGGTCACACACCTGTAATCCTAGCACTCAGGAGGCTGAGGCAGCAGGATTGCTGTGAGTTCAAGGCCAGCCTGTGCCACAGTGAGAACCTGTCTCAAAACAAAATTTTTTAAAAAGTTAAATTTCAGCTTTTATTGAAAAATGAGTGAGACTTCTGTTATGAGCATACATTTTACGTAACTAAATATTACTGACAATAAATGGAAAGAATTTCAAAAACATGTGCTACAATTACTAAACTACATGTAACTTTTTTTCTTAGTTCAACAGTATATCATAAGGATAAGTGGAAGCATGATTGAGCTGAGAGACAATTTTGATGATGCGCTTCAAGTTGACACGACTGACCTGCTGCCAAAGGAGGCCAACTCCAAGGAAACCTTCACATTTAAACCAGGAAATATCTCAGAAGAAAATGCAACCCACATCTTCATTGCCATTCAAAGTGTAGACAAAAGCAATCTGACATCAAAAGTGTCCAACATTGCTCAAGTGGCTTTGTTGACCCCAGAAGTTGATCCAACACCATCTACTAGTGAAATTCAGACTACTCCTTCTGCTGGAAATTATGGTCCTAAAGTTAATCTTTTTGCCATTGTGTTGTCAGTGGGATCTGTTGCACTTGTTAGTACTGTAGTACCACTATTTGTCTTTTAGAAAAGGAAAGGAATCTCTAAGCAGATCTAGAAACAGATTTTAAAAAACAAAGCAACAGAAGTAAAGGATATTTCTGAATTTTTAAATTCATCCTTTCTGTTTATGAACTCACAAAAATAATTTTAAGAAGCTTAGAAAAATTTTGATTAAATGAAAATATCCATAGATTTGTGAAATACTGCCCATACTAATCTTTAATAATTTTATTTACTAATATTTATCATAGTGATGAATAAAGATTATTTTTCATAGTCATACCTGGTTGTATATTATTTTCTAATGCAAAAGTTTCCTGAAATAATAATACTCCATTTTCAGAAGGTTAACACTGAATAGTCAAAATACAAGGGTAAAAGAACAAATAAATAATATTTGGGGAAACAAATTCAGTGTTGAAGCTATTAGTATTAATTAATGGTACTATAGTCATTGAAAGTCTCCAACTATATATTGTAATCACTTATTGTAAACCCAAATATCAAGTTCAGTCATTCTAGTATTATAATCTTTTTCCTAGTTTTCCTCAAAATTCAAAACGTTATATTTGTAATCCCATTGAGATGTCATTGGAATCCCAGCAAGATAATTCCAATCTAAAAACCACCAATACAACCCACGGCAAGAGTAAAAACACCAAGACGTATTCTAACTTAAGGGCGGCCAAGGGCTTCTAAATCCAATCCTCATGAGGACATGCAGACAAAGGCCTCTATCCTACTCCTCTCCCAGCATTTATTATCTTGTCAAGAAGGGGGGGGGTGGCTCAGGGATGAGTGATAGTGAGGATGGCAGGAATTATGTGAGTAACCTGAGCTGGCTGGCCAGGTACAAGATTGTAATCTCTGTGAATTGCAGAGATAAAGATAAGCAGCAAGATCATTTTACATGCTCCAATTAAGTTACCAGTGGAATTGTTTTGGGGGGCTATTGCTTCAGTTTCTGATATGCAAACTCTTGTTCCTTGGGGAGTCATAGCCTCTTATCTTGAGGTTTGAACCCAGTTGACATTTCCAGAGCTATTTGCTCAATCTTGTATTATGGAGAAGAATTGTGGAAACAGGACTGTCTGATGGCTATACATTTTGCATATTAGCACCTTCTTGCCTTATTTGCAATGCTGGGAGACAGTTGAACAGAGAAGGAAATACCCTAGCCAGTCTTTTACATATCAGTATAAGGAAATGAGTCTCTAACTAATCAACATCATAGTAATTGTTTTGGATTCAAAGGGAGTCACTAGAATTGACTCCCAAAATCACTAAAGTCATTTTCATAGTAATTCATACAAATGGAAGACACTAGTAGAAAAAAATCAGATACTACCCATCAAACCATAGGTTTTCCTGATTTCAATTGCAATCAGGAAATATGTATCTCTCTCTTTTCCCTTAAAAGCCTTAGTAATCCATGTACTTTTTCTTTCACCATGGGAAAAAATGAGAGAAGTGATTATCTATTCACTTTAGTTTCACAAAATAAAATATATTTAAAACATATTTCCATTAGTCATTTATAGGCACAGCCTTGGAATTGCAGCCACCTTAATGAATGAGATAAATAAGTAGACAATGTAGGTTGAGAAAAACATGTTTATATGACCAGCCATATTTGTAAGCCTATTATGCTCCAGGTTTATAACAATATAGATTTCTTTTTCTTCCAAATGTTGGTTTTCTCATGTTGTACAAAGACTTTAACTACCCAAATTCAGGACCTAAAGAAAGAACACCAGCCACTAATTTGTTTTCTTAGTTCATGTATAGTTGACAGGAATTGTTTGCTGATTTGGAAGTAAACTAAAATGAAAGTCATAAGCTGAGTTTAGGGTTGATAGAATGTTTGACATGGCTAGAAAGATAAAAATATGAAATAAAAGTGGCCTTATTTTAAGAATGTGAAGAAAGAACCCCCGACCACTGAGATCCTGGTTTTCTCTGTGCCAGGCATGTGTTCTGGGGGCATACATATAGCTTAGGTTTGGGATGATGTCTAAGAGGCATCAGTGATGCACAAGTAGCCCACTGGAATTCATTTCGCGCCACAGGTAAATTGCCTAAGGGCAAGGAAAGTGACCTCAAAATAAAGCCCCTTGATTCCACCTCCCAGCCTCCCACTGCTGCAGCGACCCATTTAGAGTGAAATCCTTTTATTCCCATTTTTATTGTCAGGAAAAAGGGTGAAGTTTTTCTTTCTTTTACTACTCCTGCTGAAAGGGGGAAATGTATTAGGGTTTAGGTGGGTTGATGGGATGATGGTTGATGCCCATGCAGAAGCTGGTGCCAGGTATTTTAACCAGGACAACTTTATCACTGATGAATACCCACATGTTAGACGGAAAAAACAAAAAGACAAGGTGTCATGAGGACGCAGGCCACTATCATATTTAAGGACCCAGGTGAGGTAGAAGGAAAGGTGCCTTTGATTTAGATGTCATTTTATCAGGACCATGTTGAGGCAGAATCATTGCCACGGTGAGGTAGAATTCTGAAAAATAAGTGTGGGGTTACGAGGAGTGAAGTTATGAGAGGTGATTATTACCACATCTGAAAGGGTAAAAGTTAAGAAGGTAGGCAGATAAGACTTGTTTCTGGTATGCATGATGTGGGAGTCTTTAGGAAAGACTGTTGAGAGTCCTGCTGTAAAAAGGATAACAGAATGTAAGAAATTAGGAACCAAATTGGATAACAAAACATGACATCCTGAGAGTTGTGGCTATGAGGCCTTGGTATGGTGGAGATGAGTGGGCAAAAGGATGGTTAGATCCAGGGTCTGATGGGCACTGCTTATTCTGAATGATGTGAAACCAGGATGGCAGTCTAGCAACTTTGATCGCTGTTGAGGTTGCCAAGAAGACCAGGTCTGGGCCGCTCTATCATGGTTGTAGTCCTTAGAATGATTTGCTGTAGCAGGATGTTAGTAAGTATATCAGCCGTTTCCCTGGTTGTGGGAAAGGCTTTTATGTATCCTGAAAAATTACAAACCAAGGTGAGAAGATATTTGAGAGTTTTATGGCAAGTCATGTGTGTAAAATTTTTCTGTCAGTTTTGACCAGGGTTGTGTTTGAGAAATTGATGAATAGGAAAGGAAGGGGTGCTAAGTATCCCTGAGGAGAAGTTTTACTAGAGATAACAGGTGTAAGCTGTTGAGACCTCAGAGTGTCTGGGTCAGTCTGCATAAATACAAAGGAATAAAAAGGCATTTTGAAGATCTAGGACTGTAAAGTGGTGGTAGAGAGAGGGATATGAGAGAGCATGGTATAAGCGTTTGGCACCACTGGTTGGATTGGGGTAACAGCACTATTGAGTATCCTAAGGTTTTATACTAGAGGGTAAGACCCATCAGGCTTGAGTATCAGGAGAATAGGAGTATTATAGGGTGAATGGGTAGGTTTAAGAAAGCCATTGTCTAAAAGGCACTTAAGTATAGGTTTAAGTCCCTGTAAATGTTTGGAAGCTATGGGATATTGGAGAACACAAGGAAAAATTGAAAGATCTCTGAGACGAATTAAAATAAGCATGGCATGAGCAGCACAGGAGGGATTATAGGTATCTCAAACTATGGGATCAACCAGAGAAGAATCAGTCTGGAACCTGCATAAAATAGGCCCTGTCTGTAAAGGCTGCATAGGTTGGCCATCAACACCCACTATAGAGACTGAAGACTTTATATAGTGGACTGACAACTCAGAAAGAACCCCATACATGGCCTCTATGTCCACAAGTATAGAGAATGTCTTACCTGAGACCTCTAGTGGGACTTGGGGCTCTGAGAAGGACACTTGAATGTGGGCAGTGGGCCCGGAGCCCCATCAGTCATCAGCAGCAAGTCCAAGCAGATTTGTCAGTGATGAATCTGGTAGTGATGGCATTTCCTGTGAGGACAAGGAGTTGGAAGATGGCTTACCCACTCTCTTGCGGTTAGGACAGTCAATCCAGTGGCCTAGGGGCAAGGCCCCAAAGGAACGCCCAAAGGATTGGGCATTTTCTTGCCCAACGTTTTTTGTTTTTTGGTTTTTTGCTGCATTTGAAGCATGGTCCAGGAGGGGCTCAGGCATCTCCACCTTGGGTCAGTTTACCTGTCTCAGAGCTCCAAGTGTCACTGCTAAAAGATCAGATTGTTATTTTTATCTGTTGTTGAAAATATGAAAAGCCATATTAAGAAGGTCTCCCTGTGAGGTTTGAGGGCCACGTTTAGCCTTTTGTCTTGGGATGTGGCCCACAGTGGAAGATATCTGTAGAATCAATTAAATGTGCAAGAATCAAATAATACAAACAACAGGGTATTTATGATCGTAACTTTAGTAATGGCTTCCCATAAGGAGGATAAGGTCCAGGGAATTTTAGGAACAGACATGTCATTTATTTATCATATATAAGTATCTCTTTATGCTGTTAGAATGTCTAATGCCATCTGATTTTTGGAAGATGGCCTGTTTTATTAACTTTACCTTCTTTGTTTAGGAGATTAGCTATGGTGTCATTTAACACCAGTGGAGTATTATGGCTCTGTGGAGGGCTGAGGCAGGGCTGGTGGACAGGCTGGGAAAGGCTCAAGCCTGGCCTCTGCCCCAGTGCTGGTCTTGTTGTTTTGCCTGCATCATATAACCTTTTTTCTGGAAAAGAGCTGGTGGATCCCAGCAAAAAGAATCCAAAAGGAATTTATAATTATCACTTAATTTCAGTTGTTGAAAATCCAGAAGATTGATAACAATACAGTACAGTATAGGCAGTAAGCTTAACATAGAACATTAAATGTCTATTAACCATGAGTGTTTTAACATTTGAGCACTGAAAAAAATTGTGAAGCATCTCTAAGCATACATCTGGATCTGAAAGAAAAGACTTGTCATCATACATTATATAAATTTTTGTTTAAAAATTATTATTTGACTAGTGACCTTGTGTTGGTCTGATTTGTATCTCTTGGCTGAAACACAAGAAAAAAGCAGCAAAACAATCTCAGTTTTATATTGGAAGGCATATATATATACCATTAGATTAGCAACAATGAACAAACTGTCTTAGTTACTTTAGTGAATTTTAGCTGACGTGTCTCCCATTAGGCTATGGAGATTGGAGGCTTTAATTAATAAACAAGAGCTGGTAAAATTACCAGGTGGCCACTTCTCCCGTTTATCAGTTGAAGTCTTGTCCAATGTCTCCTCACCATAAGAGATTTTATTTAACCAGTTTTAGTACCATTTTGACCAGCTGGCAAAAGGAAAAAAAAAGATTGTTGAGCTCAAATAAATGGAACAGCTGTTTACAGACCAGGCAAAAGGACAAACATGGACAGATGATCTGTGCATTATAAACAGGCTGAACAAGCAACAGATATATCTTACAAAATCAGAGTGTATTCAAATATATTTGGCCAATTTGAACTATAAGACTGGTGTGAATCCTTTTGTAGATTAATTAACAGAGATCTCTTGAAATAAGAATACCAGAAAAGGAACCTGGTTAGCTCAGAGAGTTAAGAAGGAATGGCCAGGCACCCCTGCCTCACTGGCCAACCTTTGGTCCCTTTTCCTCCTGGCCCCTTTTCCTCCTGCCATGTCCCATTGCCTCCTCCTCCACACCACCGCCTGGAGCTGTGCTAGGGTCTGGCCTGAGCCATGCCATGCTCGGGTGCTCAGGGGGTGCACCTGCTCAGGAGGTGCACGGAGCCTGCAGGGGGATTGCAGAGCCAGCACAGGGGGTTAGATCCCAGAGCAGCCCGCACAGTCCCCGAGGTGCGCACCACACCTGCCCCACCTTAGTGCAGTCCAACACCGTCCACACACACCTCCCCCCAATCCACTGGGAAAGGCAAGCTGGCACGCAGTGTGGGGAGGGAATAAGAAATGAGTAGTGAAGCGGGGGGTGGGGGGTGGCAATGCAAGAGAGAAGCTGTAAAGGAGCTGTATCCTAAGTGTGGGGAGGGGGAGGGATCCTGGAGGAGCAGAGGGAGAGAGGAACACATTCTTAAAGGCCTAAAGATGGAGAGTTTTTGTCAACTTGGCACCATTGTAATAAGCATAAATAAAAGATCAGCCTTTTGGTTTTTAGTAGGTTGAGGTGCCTTTGAATCTGGCACCTCAGAGGTGTGTTCAATTAAGATAAAATGAGCCAACCTGGATCATGGCTAGTATAAGAGGTTGTCACCTAATATTTTGGACACAAAGTTAATTGGTTCCAAAACTCGTGCTTTTTGTCATCAAAAGGCATGAGTGGAGTTCTCGTGGATTACAGTAATGGCTCTGCCTAGGGGCTACCCAAGGGGCATGAGAACCGCTACCCCAGTCCAGGGACAGAAAGAAGATTGGTGTGGAGCCTGGCCCACCATGGAGTAATCTTCGGCCAGAAATTGGCTCACCTGCAGTGAATGAATTAGATCAGTGTTGTTTGCAAACCAGCAGCAACAAGTTGAGCAGCTCCCTCATGTTGAGACGGTCCAGTCTGTGAATCAGCAGTAGACTCAAACTGGGACAACCCCAGGAGTCACTTGCCTGCTGTTCCCAGTCAGGGAACCAACTGATAGAATTTTTGGCACTGCTAAAATGATAGAAATATGAAGTAAAAGTGGCCTTTATTTTAAGAACACAGAGAGAAAACCATCTGACCACTGAGGTCTGGCTTTTCTCTCTGCTGGACATGTGTTGTGGGGGGCATACATATAGCTTAGGTTTGGGGTGGTGCCTAAGGAGCATTAGTGATGCACAAATAGCCCATTGGAATTCATTTCACGCCACAGATAAATTGCCTAGGGGCAGGGAAGGTGACCTCAAGATAGAGCCCCTTGGTTCCACCTCCCAGCCTCCCACCACTGCTGCATCGCATCCAGGGCAAAATCCTTTCAGGGGTCACTTTTAACAATTTACGGAAATAGGCTCTGTGACTGATGGGATTTTCACCATGGTTAAAGAGAGAAAATATAAAGTAAAAATGGCCTTTATTCTAAGCTTGTGGAGAGAAACTCCACGACCACCTTCTCTGCTGGACACGTGGTGTGGGGGGCATACATATAGCTTTTGTCTGGGGTGGTGCCTAAAGGTGGCATCACTGATGTGCGAGTCGCTGATTGGAACTCTTTTGGCGCCACAGGTCAGTTGCCTAGGGGCATGGGAAATGACCTCAAATAAATGTCCCTTGGTCCCACCTCCCACTGCTGTAATGTCCTATCTAGGACAAAATCCTTTCAGTGACCTGGCAAAAATAATTTTTTCTGGTTAGCACAGTTGACAGAAATGGTTGGTAGTTTAAATTAGAACTGATAAAACACCAAGGGAAAAGAAAATATGTGAGACAGTTGTAATAGCTAAATCTTGGAAACAGCCCAAAGGCCCATCAACCAATGAACGAATAAAGAAGATGTGGGTTTTTTATACAATGGAGTACTATCCTGCCACCAAACATGATAAGCTTGAGACATTTTTGGGTAAATGGTTGCACGTTGAGACCAAACACTTACACATGTGTAAATAACTGATGGTTTCTCTGGAACAAGAAATCAAAAGTGTGATAAGAACCAAAATGTATAATAAATATTGGGAAATGGGAAGAAAATATTCAAATGGAAAAGGCAACAAGAGAAGAGGGACAGGAAAGAAGGGACAGGAAAAAATGATAAAAGGAAAAAATGGAAACAAAACTTTTGAAAATAAGGAACGGAAGAGACATTAAAAGGAGGGGTAAACAGAAGCAAGATATAGCATGTTCAGATACAAATTCCATATGATGAATGTTATCACTAAGTGTATCTGAAATGTACCAACAAAATAAATAAGAACAAAAAGAATATGTGAGAGACTCCTGGTTATAAAGAAAGTTTGACTTGTTCCTCCAGCATTCAGAGGAGGACAGACTGTGCACCAGGGCACTTAGGGACTGTGCTCTTGAGACAGAAGGTCTGTGGGCAGTGTCGGTTCTTCTGGGGGTAGTACTTGTCCATCCAGGGCTAATGTCTGGGGCTGTTCATGCACAGATTGAGGAGATGTGGGAAAGGAGTAAGTGTCAGGCACCTGGCGTTTTACCAAGAGAGTAATAAAAACCTGAAGTTTGAGGCCACCTTGTGGGACCAAGGAATTCCAACCAGTAGCATGGCATGCATGGGGCCAGGCTAGACCCGGGCCCCTCCCATGACCCCCATCTTCCTAGTAGACCACCTCACAGGACCTAGGAACTCCAGTGAGTGGTGCAGGTGTGGCCTCCTGTGGCCCCGTAGACCTGGCCACCTAACTTAGGACCTAGGAATTCCAGCCCGTGATGCACCCCTGCAGTCCCACCACTGCCATTGGGACCTAGCGATGCTGTTGATCTTTGGCTCCCACATTTCCCCCCAGAACCTTGGACTGCAGTGGATTAACCATGCAGTATTGAGGGGAGATTCAGTAAGAAGAATTCAGCAGGCTTCCATAAGTGAGGTGAGTTTGCCCCTAAAATAGGAATAGAATTTGCCACCTTCAGTGTGTAACCAGGAACAATAGTGAAGCCCTCTCCAGAAGTAGGCCATAGGTGAGCTTGGCAAGTGGGTAGATGAGTTCTTCCCCCACATAGAGAACATCAGGTAGGTTGAGGAGCGTGCCAATAAGGCCTCCCCCAACATGAAGAAAATTAAGGAGGCCTGTGGGACCCATAGAGACACAGTAGAGTCTCAACTGAGACAAATACTATAAACAGGGAGATCTAGTGACTCTGAACAACCTGAAGACATAATACTAGCAAGAACTAGGGGTTGATTTCCATCAGTATTCCTATTTTTGTCAGCCTAGGAAGAATATAGGACTCACCCAACAGGCCCTGCAGGGGGAATCCAGGTGACTGGCCCACCTCTTCATTGTGGAACCCAGCAATTGGACAAACATCAATCTTACAGTAGGACCCCAAGATA